CGCTACCCACAGTTGTTTGTTGATGTGTGATTCCGGGGACGGAATCATCCTAAGGGGGAGAGAATAGTAACGCCCGTCTTTCTAGGCTAGGCATTAATATTGATGTGATAGTCTAGGTTAACCTTTGTAACTCATTTTGAAGAAATGAACAGGACTTATGTGAATATTATGTGAATTATGTGTTTTATGCTTAATTACTATGATTTAATTAATTAAGAATAAAAACGAGCGTCGAAAATAAATATTAGATAAAACCGATATCTATTAAGAAAGTTGTAGTGGTCGTGACAAAGATTACGGATATATAAAGAATACCGAAATCCGAGTTATAACGAAGAAGTTATGACCTGTCGAAGTTTCGCGACAAAACCGGCACGGTGCCGAATGACGTAAAAAGTGAGTTTTTGATGAACTACTTTTTAGCCTTAGTGATCTAAACGAAAGTCGTAGTGTTCGTCAAACCGAGAGTATGTATAAAAAGAACGCCCAAATTTGACTTTATATGAGGAAGTTATGATTTTTCTAAGTTTCAGCTTAGCAGTAGACAGCTAAAAACTCGAATTTTAGATCGGGTGATTTTTATCCGACACAACTTAAACGATAATCGAAGGTCTCGTCAATAGTAGTACAACGGTAAAAAGACAGACGAAAACGGACGTCGGATGAAGAAGTTATGAATTTTTAACGGATTTCCTGTCCCGGTCTGTTAAAAATAATTGTATGAAAATTAAAGTCAAAATTAGCCGACGAAGTATTAACGAAAGTTGTAGAGCATAATTTTACCTACGCGTGTATATAAAGAACGTCAAAAACGGAGCTCGTATGCGAAAGTTATGGATTTTAGAAGTATTTGCACAAAAATCGAGAAAATTCGCAAAGTCATGCTTCGGCCACGTCACCTTCGCTCCATGCGTGCCACGTGTCCGAAATTGCTGAGTCATCCGAAGCCATGGCGCATCCGAGGAGTGACGCATGTGCAGCCTCGTCCGAGCCTCGCACCACCTGCCGCATGTCCGACCTTCGCACCACCTGTCTCCCTCCCCTCTTGGTTCGAATCCGAACCTCGGACCTAGACTTCGGTCCAATCAGAGGTCAGCAGCTGGACCCTCGCACGTGCGAGCCATGTGCCTCCTCTTCGGATCTACTGCCACCTGGTAGCTTCTTAGCCGTTGGATCAGAAGCCTCGCCCCTATAAATAGAAGGGTGCGAGACCTCCCGCGGATAATTTGGAAATTTGTCAATTTTCACCCCTCTTTCAATATTTCTTTCATTCCAACTTCCCCCAAAGCCCCGGTATCATACCAAACACCCGAAACACGTCCCGAAGTGCCCGAGAAGCCCGAGAAATTTATCTTTTCGGTTTTGAAGCCCGACCCTCGCAGAGCCCGGTTTCTCAATAAAACTCCCGGTTTTATTAGAAACGATCATTTTAGGAAACGAAGTGCTGCCCGATTATCATTAAATCAGGTGAGTGTGTAGTCACTTTCATCTTACACCTAGATATGAAGTATTTTCTATAAAATACTTGCTATGTGTAATTATATTAATTGTTTAATTGAGGTGACCGTTGAATAGATGTTTTATACAAGTTTTAAACTGTATATGTATTTTATCTACAAATATGTTGGGTAGAACATGGGTAGACGAAATAGTCGATGTGTGTTAAAATGGTGAGAGACCCCGATGTTGTCGTTGTTGTTGTTGTTGTTGTCGTCTAGCGGAGTATAGATGCCAACCACGGACCTTTCTAGACAGTCCAGTGGAACACTAGCAGGTTCGTACCTTGTAGGTGTTGGTGAACTAAATGTTCATTGGCGTACTCCATCCCCCTCATGGTTGCCTTTAGGACATGTATGGCTGAGGAGTCCCCTTAGCAGTAGTGTCCATCCCAATGATATTCCTTAGGCTAGGTCCCTTGTGATAGGTGTTTAGGGACGTAAAGTGAGGATAACGGGAATGGGTAATCAGGGTTATTGTTGATTGGTGAACTTAATAAGTTTATTATTATTGTGGGTTGAAAACCCTATATGCTCACCAGGCTCCCAAGTCTGACCGACTCTGCTTTTTATTATTACAGGTAGTGGACCCCGAGCATAGTCGGAGGATGATGAGAGATTTTTGGATTATAGGCCAGTAGTTGTAAATAACTGATGTAAGGCTTATAATGTCTTGTTTATGCTTTTGATCTGTATCGGAACATGACATCCCGATGTTTTGATATAAAAGGAAATTATATATTTCTTAAAGAAAGGTTTTGATAAACTTTTATCATGTTTTGTTTTGGAGACCAATTCCGCAACATCTTTTAAAATGATTTCTCTGATTTTATTTTAAAAGCATAAATTAAATCGGTCTTTTCTGACCGAGAAATTAGGGGATGTCACAGTAACCAAGGAATGATGTGATGTGTACCATCATTCGGAGCAAGAAAGTATACCCCAAGTTACCAAAACTGTTATTTGATACGATGTTTATGGTAGAACAAAATGCTAGTCGTAGGGTAGCATTCTTTAGGAATTGCATGATAGAATTGTCAGATGTATGATGCCTTATTCCCATAGAGTTTTCTTGCTTATTTGTTTGTAGTACTCTGCCGGGTGTGAATTAATTGTTAACTGAATACGTTAATTCACATGCTGCAAGGGTAAAATAATTTTAGAGTGAAGGATTTGGTCCTATTGCGTAACTCTTATCTGAGTCCAACCGTTGTAGGGTGGAATCTTTTAATCTAAGATTATTTACGCTATGTTTCATGTGATTGTATTCATGAAGTAGTTAACTGGCACCAATGGGGGTTGTTCTGCAATTGATGGCAGGGTGAAGTGTGGACCCTAGGATAGCCTAGGGAGTATGGAGTGCTCATGATGCGCTCTTTAGCAAGTGTTGGGAGTTTCATTATGAGTTAGTATGGATGTAGCAGGCCATTTTTGGAATGTTTATCCTCCCTCGGGAGATTGAGGATAGGATGTATGCGTATCCTAGTTGTTGTAATTGTTTTGGGTGGTTGTGATGATCCTTGAGACAAATACAAGTAGGTATGGAAGGTAGTATGGTCCCATACTACTGAAAGCACCGGACCCGTACGCGTAGCAAGGAATTCACAAACCCCAAGGGGTAGTCTCATCATATGGTTGTAGCAATGTGTATTGTGGCATTTATGATGCTTTTTATTTTTTTTTTCAGTATGGAGTTCATGAGGGGATCTAGTTCAGGATCTGGAGCTGATGGCTTGGATAGGCTGGGTTTAACTGTTGATTAGATACGGGAGATGATTACCATTGAGATTTCAAAAATATTACAGGAAGAATTGTATGGTATCGTGGATCGGATCACTGGCAGGCTAATTTCCTAGTTCGAAGAGCGAACTGTAGCTTTGTAGACTATGAGAGAGACTGCTGAGATGACTACTGGGGGAGATCTTGATGTGGGAATGCAACTCGGAAAAAAAGGGAGGGCTCATTCAGTAATGGACGAAGAGTTCGAAGCTGCTAACTTGGGTATTGGAAGTCAAGGGAGCTATGATATTTGTGGGAAGTGTAGGGGAACCCACGGGTTTTCTTGTCACAAGTTCAAATGCTATAAGTGTGGAGAGAGAGGGCATCTCTTTCACGACTGCAAGAAGGATCATATGTGTTTCCACTTTCACCAGTCGGGTCATCTCAAACATGGATGTCCTACATAGGTAGCGGAAGGAGTGCAAGACTAGATGTTCACCGTTCAGCAGGAGGTCAAGGTTGAAACGCAAGAAATCATAGGTATGAAATTCTGATCCCCGCGGTTTAATTTTGGAATAGTTTGCCATTCGTGTAGTAGCTTGTTAGGATTATTATGCTAGCATCTATATGTCGTAATGGGTTGGGGTTTCGGCTTGTAGGGTGCTTCGTGCATCATAAAATAGGAGGGCCGTTCGTGAAGGGTTGGAAGCTCTAATGTTGGGAAGGCTTCTGACATACCTATTCATGGTTTGGGATTTCCTCACAATTGTTAGTTATTATTCAGGAATTGTCATATGACGTTGTATACCGAGAGCTGTTTTTAGAGGGTATCTGGACGAACCGGTTTTTAGGATGTGATGTAGAGAATGTCAGCTATTAAGGAAGCAAGCCTTGAGTGGGGGAGGACTGAGCATTCTGCTCGGAGGATCAGATGCCACAAGTTTGGAGGATCAACAACCAGATTGATTTTGATGGGTTCCACGCGATGAGCCGAAAGAAGTTGCAGTAGAAGTTCGTTGGATTTTTGGTATTTGAGACTGATGAGATCTTTTATGATAAAGTTGATTAGGATATTGATCTGAAGTGGGTGCAGAGTGAGTGGTCGTAAATTCCTGCTCTCAGGGTTGTCCATGCAGTTCTTGCATCAGAGTCTTCTAGACAAGATCTCGTTGCAGTCGGCTGTCCCTTCTAGGACAACGAAATGGAGTTAAGAGGAGTGCGTATTGCTCATGTTGAATATCAATTGAGGGTGGTAGGGATGGAAAGGAGTCAGTTTGACCTTGGTTTCGATGGCATTCAAAAGTTTGGGTTCAGTCGGTTGAGAAATTGTAGGACCGGTTCAATTATTAACCTGAAAAGCTTAGGACCTGGACGCTATGGTTTGTGAGTGAATATTGAAAGGTTTGAAATCGTTAGAGAGGGACTAATTCCATGTGGGGGAGAACCACTTGGAAATATCGGTAATAATTTGAAATGCGGATTATCTTGGAATTCGTATCTAAGGACAAGAAAATAGTTGGTTTTGATCATAATCCGGGAATCAGAGGCGCCTAAGTATTTTGCGGCAAGATAAATGTGTGGCTGAGAATTATTCCTTCATTCTCAATCTTTTTTTTCTCAATTGAACCCTCCTATATATAATATATATATATATATATATATATATATATATATATATATATATATATATATATATATATATATATATATATATATATATATATATATATATATATATATATATATATATATATATATATACACACACTGTTTGTGTGTTTGTGTGTATGAAATGTAAAAGAAAGATGAGGGAGGGACTAAAAAGAGTATGCATGTGTGTTACTTTCTGAGATTAGGAATTGTTGAAAGACAGTGAGCATAACCTGCAAACAGAATCTCACCCCATACATGGCAATACTAAGGGTACCTCTACCATCCTCACCTGCCCCCTTCTCCTCTTAGCCTTCTACCACCACCATTCGATTTTAGTTCTTTTGATTTCATTTGCATGGATCACTGAAATCCAAGTCATAAATCACTAAAAATCCGATCTTTATTCTAGGGATTCATGCTGTGAATTCATTGGATGGGACTCAAAGTCAGCAAAAAGTCTTCATCCTTTTGTGTCTTCCTCATCGTTACCGTTTGTGTTCTTCTAACAATACCGTCTTTAGGTATGTAATAAGAGCAAACAAAGTTTCCCCTCGATCACTACTTTAGTTTTCTCCTTAATCGATTCATTTTCCAGTTTTCAGATCTGGATTAGGTGCTGTCATAGTCCATGATCATATCCATGACCTCTCCTTCAGGGTGAGTTCTTGCTTACTTTTAGTTATAATCCTAGCGTTGAATGCTCTTTCGTGCCTTAGTGCTCTTTATTTTGTTATAGCTTCTAGCTAGTTCTTAAATTCAATTTTTGATGGTCAAAATTAAAGTTTTGGTTAATTTTAGTGCTCTTTATCGTCATAACTAGTTCCACCACTTAAGAATATACATTATTCATCAGATCAATACGTTTCCATTCATAATTGCATCACAAACTACCGAAATTAAATAATTCCTTATCCTTGATTAGTTGATTACCACATGATCTTTAACATGAATTTATTTTTTCGAAAAAAATATCATCTATCTTTTATAACTTGTTTCCACTAGCTTCCTAGCACTTACAGAAAACATGATTCATCAAATCAGCAGGCTACCTTTCTTTACAACTTAAAAAATTAAATTCTAAGTTAGTTTTTAAATAATATTTAGTGTATATATCGATCATTTGGTATTTAAGATAAAAACAAGAAGAGTGGCCAGATGGCGTAGACTAAGATGTGACTGTCAAACAATGGTGAAGACTGAAGACCAAGTAGGGTTTCTGCATTTAAATAAAAAGTACACATGGGGTACACTTAATCTGCGCCAGTACTGTCACCCATTATATATTCACTTTAATTCTTTCATTCTAACCTTTTACAATTTGTGTAAATACTAGTGTAAATATGTGAAAGTGTATTCATATATACACCCTCATTTACACTTGTACATTTTCATCACCGTGTGAGTGTGTGTTTGATTTTTGTGTGTTTGATTTTTTAAATGAGCAATGGTATATGAATAGTATCACCTTTTGTGTAAATATCAAAATTCAGAGAAAAGAACGCCTTCATATATGAGAACATTTTGTTATATCGAGCTTTATAAGGGAGATGAATATATATATATATATATATATATATATATATCTATATATATATATATATATATATATATATATATATAAGTAGCATAAGGTTTCTTTAAACGGATTATTTTTTTTAGCAAACTTTGTCCTAAAAGAATCATGTGAAATATAATTAAATACACACAGCTACATGGTAGGATGTTGTGCTTACAAAAATATCTATAGATCTGCTTTGGAAATTTATTGAAATATAATCAGACGTTATAGTGTTACACTGGGGTCAAGTGCAATTATTATGTCCATACGACCCTAGCTAAGGTCAGTTTATTCAAAATTAATATAACCATTCTCAAGAGACTACAATTATTTTATGTATTATGTGGGCATAGAGATTGAAAGAATTATTTTGTCCCTAAAATAATACAGATAGTGCATGCTAGTTACTGACCCAAGGGACCCCACTTGGAGAAGGACCCCAGCCCCTTTAAAGTCGGAATCATGTTGGGTGATAAAGCCCATGATCCCGTGAACCCTTCTTGTCCCCCCCTGGCTTTTTAACCTCACGGGTGCCATATTATATTTAATATGCAGGGTAAAGAAGAAGAGATGATAAGGTCAACCATAACCACCATGCGGAGGCGGATGTTGAGTGGACTTGGCTCATCACCACCACGTTGTGCATGGAAGTGTGGGCGGTGCACCCCTTGCAAACCAATTCATGTCGCGGTGCCACCAGGGAAGTCGGTGACTATGGAGTACTATCCAGAAGCATGGAGGTGCAAATGCGGGAACAATTTGTATATGCCATAATAGGAGTGTTAACTTTATGTCTAATTTAGTTGATTACCTACTAATTATGTGTTTACTCATATATTAATTTATGCTCAAGATGTTAATCATCAATTATCCGCAATCATTATGTAACTGAAAATTTTAAGCTAGTCGATTGGAGATGTTTTTGTGGGTCGGTCAAGTTCGATATTAGATTTAAGGGTAAATTACACCAATCGTCCCTTCTGTATATGTCAGAAAACGTGTTTAGTCCCTATTTTAAAAAATTAACTCAGACCGTCCCTTATATCGTTAAAAGTTGCACGTTTCGTCCCTCGTTAGTTTAACTTTGCACGTTTTATCCTTTGTGAGACATGAAGTGAGTATAATACCCTTTTTATTTTCTTTTTCATTTACTTTTATCAATTTTGATTATTTTTAATTATTAAAAAGTGATGCGACCTCGCTTTGGCTCCGCTCGAGTCTCGGCAACAGTTATCTAGCTGCTCCAGCAAGGTCACAAAGAAGTGAAAGCCGTCAGCCGTTTCCCGGGAGGAGGCTCCCGGAAAGATGCTCTGACGGTCAAGTTAGTACGGTTGTGAGAGTGGGTATGAGTATTGCTTAGAGAGGATCACTTACCTTTTGGGGTCGTGAGCATCTCCCTATATACTCAGCCCTCCTGCTCGTCCGTACGAGACAGGATCGCCAGAGGCGACACGATCAGGGGCGCTGATTGGATGATCATGCTCCTCTAACTGTCAGAGCGATGCCATTGGTTCTGGCGATAATGCCCTGATCGCCTGCTTTGTCGCCTGACCGTATCATTTGTCTTGGAGCTGAGGGCGCCTTTGGCGGGCGCGAGCTTTCCACGGGAGTGCCTCTGGCGGGCGCCAACCTTTTGCCAGAGCGTCCTGCCCTTAGGGGCGTTGGCGGGCGCTAAGCTTCGCTGAGCGGCGGGGGAAAATGGCGATTTTTTCCTCCATTGTTGACGGTGAGTTGTTTGCGATGTATTCCCCCCTCCTTTTTATCCTTTCTTCCTTTTTCCTTTCTTGCTTTCTTTTCTTTCTTTTTCTTTTTTACGTGCATAGAGAAGAGTTAGGGGTTAGTGTACATAATCCTCACGTTTTGTAGTGTTTTTTCCTGGTGTCTTGTTTTTGCAGGTGTTGAGTCCCTGTTATCCATGAATGATGTGCTGCAGAAACGCTACCAAGGGAAATTAAAGCACCGGGAGGTGGATTTGGTCGACAGTCTCCCCCCTCCTCGTCGTCTTGATCAGCTTGCTTCGTCTGTGGCTGCTCATGTTCCTCCTGTGGCTGAGGGGGAATCGACGTTAGTTGGGAAAACTCCCTTGGCTGCCCATCCTATTTCAATCGTCGCTCCTTCGGTCGACGCCCATTATGGTTCGGCGGACACTGCTGAAGACAGCAAGGAGGGTATAATCCTAGATGTCTGTCGCTTGCAGGAAAAAAGGAAGGTCGTTTTGGCTATAGGGGAAACGGTCACCGGTGCGCTCAATATTTACAAACGGCTTCAGACAAGGCGCAACTTCTCCCGTCTCCTGAATTCACTATCCTCGACACCGGAATCAGTTGTTGTGATCCCCGATGATAACGTTCAACAGTCGGAGGGGAGTCATGGGGCGTCTGATCAGACCGAAGTTCTTGTTCAAGTTATTTCTCACGTTCTTTCCGACTCTTCCCCTCCCCGGGGTTCTGGCGGTGTGGGGCGGTCTTCGGCTTCTGGTGGAGGCAATTCTGGGGACCCTTCTGGGTCCCATATCTTTTTTCCTACCTGGAATCTCAGCGATGATTCTCGCCTGTCTGTGCGTGCCAGCGCAGTGGAGTTTGCACGCCATGCGTTCCCTCCTGTTGTAGTTGCTGATATGGAAGCTATGGGTAGCTCCTCTCTTTCGCACAACATGTCTTATGCCGCTGCACAGGCTATGTTTTACCTTGTTGCAGGTGCTCGGTGGATTCAGTTGCTCGGTAATATTGAGGCCGCTCATGCAGGATGTGATGTTCGCGAGGTTGGGCTGAGGCGCCAGGTTTCTGAACTTGGTAATGACATTCAGGGTTTGGATCAAAAGTGCTCATTGCTTGCTGCTGAGAAAGCTGCTATGGAAGAAGTTAGGGTTGTTTCGGAGAGTAAGGTGGATGCTCTTACACAGGTGAACGAAGGGTTGATGATCCAAAACAAGAGCCTCGAACGCGACGTCGCTGACCGCGACAATTTGATTGCCACCATTCAGGCGGATGCTGAAGCTACCCGTCATGACCTGGATTGTCTGTTGCGTGTGGGTCTTGTTCGATTTGTGGACAAACTGGTTGAGCATCCAGACTTTACCGGTGCTTTGAGCCTCATCCGCCATTCTGCTTTTGTTGCTGGAGCGGAGTCCAGTCGCAGTGGCTTTATGTCTAAAACAGATTCTGGCCACATCCAGCCCAATGTTGGTGCCCCTCAACCCGACTCTATTCCTAGCGTAAATGATGCTTTTCTTGCTTTCGCTAGCATGGATCATGCATCTTTACTAGGGTTGGGGGATTTAGATATTCAGGGGGTCTGTACACTTTGCGCTTTCACTAGCTCTGAGGGTACCCCTGAGGACATGGTGGTTGATGACGATGAAGATATTGTTGGTGATACTAGCGATGGTAATGGCGGTGACGGGCCCATTAGTGGTGGTGATGGGGATGCTGGTGGTCATGTTGGGGATGGTGATGGCGAGGATGAGCCTGTTGGTGGTGCTGATACGGATGTTGGTGGTGGTTCCAGCGATGGTGATGGCGATGGTGGGCCTGTGAATGAAAACGCTGGTGGTGATGTTGGTTCTGTTGATACTTAAGGTGCTAATGTACCGTGTGCTGCCCCTTTGGGGTGTGAAGATATTTTTTAAGCTTGTTTCTTGTTTCTTTGAACAACTTGTTGATTTTGTCCTTGTTGGCTTTGCTTTTGTACTGGCTCTTGGTGTATTGTAATTAACAGTGGCCTTTAGGCTGTATTATTATGTTCGTTCCTTTCCTTAGTTCATCCATGTGTGGGAAAATTGCTCTAGATTCTCTAAGCACTTTAATTCAGCTCATCAAATTATGAATGGGAATATCCTTTCAGTGCCCCAGAACCTTTGGCTTAATATACTTAGTATTGTGGGGATAAGTTTGTTTAAAATACACTGAGTATTTAGGCCGATACATTGAGTATGAATGTTTCGCACTTAATACACTGAGTATTTAAAGTTGATACACTAAGTATGAAAATTCCTCACTTAATACACTGAGTATTTAAGGTTGATACTCTATATATAAAAATTTTGCACTTAATACACTGAGTATTTAAGGCTGATACACTAAATATGAAAATTTCACACTTAATACACTGAGTATTTAAGGCTGATACGCTAAGTATAAAATTTTGCACTTAATACACTGAGTATTTAAGCATGGAAACTTTGCTCTTAATACACTGAGTATTACATTGAGCATTTTGTTCTTGATACATTAAGCGCTATGGAGTAGATTTCCCCTCTTAGCCACTAGGTAAAACTATCCATCCAGGCATCTCGTATTCTTGGTGTCGTTTACCCTTGTTCGACTCGGTGGGATCTGTTAGAAGTAGAATTTTCTTAAATTTCTGACATTCCAAGTTCTTGGGATTTGCCTTCCTTCCATTATTTCCAGCGCGTATGCTCTGTTACGATTTGCTTCGACGACTCTATACGGCCCTTCCCAAACGGGGCCTAATTTGCCCTGTGGTTGGGCCCGATTCACCTCATTTCGCCTTAATACATAGTCTCCCACTTTGAAGGCTTTCTCTCTGACCCTTTCATTGTAGTATTTTTCGACAGCATGTTTGTAGGCGGCTTGCCGCATGATCGACTGTTCTTGTCGTTCCTCGTGGAGGTCTAGACTTAGCCTCAGGTCTTGGGAGTTAGTCTCTTACTCGGCGTGGATCGTCCTTAAGGTGCCTATTGTCAGCTCTATCGGGAGCATCGTTTCCGCTCCATACGTCAGGGTGAATGGTGTTTCTTGTGTGCCTGTTCTTGGCGTCGTCCTGTATGACCATAGCACCGCTGATAATTCCTCAGCCCAATTGCCTTTGGCTTTCCCTAGTCGTTTCTTGATCCCGTTTACAATCGTTCAATTGGATACTTATGTCTGCCCATTCGATTGAGGTTGTGCTACTGACGTAAACCGTTGAGTGATTCCTTTACCAGCGCACCAATCCCTGAACGAGTTTTCAGCGAATTACAACCCATTATCACTGATTAGTACCTTGGGTGTTCCAAATCTAGTCATTATGTTTTTCCACATAAACTTGATCATCTGTCTTCCTGATATGTACGCTAACGGCTCAGCCTCGATCCATTTTGTGAAGTAGTCCACCGCGACTACCATGTATTTGAGTTTGCCTGGAGCTTCTGGAAATGGCCCCACTATATCTATTCCCCATTGGTAGAATGGCCATGGGCTAGATATATTCGTCAGAGGGGCTGGAGGATTTCCTTGGACCGGAGAATACCCCTGGCATTCCACACACTTCCTTGTCAATTCCAACGCATCTTGATGTGTGGTGGGCCAAAAGATTCCCATGCGAAGCACCTTCCCAGTCAGGGCCCGTGCTACTTCATGCATGCCTGCCTGACCGGCATGAGCTTCTTGGAGTGCTTCTCTGCCCCTGGCTTCGTCCACGCACTTTAGCCAGGGGTCGTGAACCCTTTCCGATATAGCTCTCCGTTCACGAGTATGTATGAAGGTGCCTTTTTGTGAATCTTTCTATCTTCTTCATGGCTGTCTGGTAGGACGTCGTGCTGCAACAGGGTCATCCATGTGTGCTTAGCCGTTGCTAGGGTGTTCACATGCCGCTCGTCTACACTTCTTTCCTTGAGCACTTCAACTAAGACTTTTTTGGATAGGTGGTCGAAGCATGTTGACGCCAGCTTGCTCAGGGTGTCCGTTCTTCTGTTCTCACTTCTTGGTATCTGTTTGATCGTGAATTCTTTGAAAGATTTGATAAGTCGTTGCGCAATTCTGACATACTTCTCCATTCTTTTGTCTTTTGCCTCGAAGCTCCTGTTGATTTGGTTGGCGGCTAATCTTGAATCTGTTAGTGTCGTCATTGCTTCTGCCCCCATCTTTTTGGCTAA